CGCCGCCTCAACCTCAGCAGCAACCAGATCACAGAGCTGTCCCTGTGCATTGACCAGTGGGTACACGTGGAGACCTTGAATCTGTCCCGCAACCAGCTCACGTCACTGCCCGTGAGTCCTGGACCTTGGCCGGTGGGGTGGAGGGAGGCTGCTGGGCTCAGCCCTGACCACCCACCCCTGCTCCGCTCCCCCGCAGTCAGCCATCTGCAAGCTGACCAAGCTGAAGAAGTTGTATCTCAACTCCAACAAGCTGGACTTTGATGGGCTACCCTCGGGCATTGGCAAGCTGACTGGCCTGGAGGAGTTCATGGCTGCCAACAACAACCTAGAGCTGATTCCCGAAAGCCTCTGCAGGTGCTGGGGCAGGGCTGGGCAGGAGGGGCCCTCAGCACAGAGAGTCCTGGAATCATAGCCAGAACCAGCCCGGTTGTCTTTGTGAGTCACATGAAATGAAGATGGGTCAGTTTGCCTCTGTGGCTGAAGACCCTGTGGTCCCATGCTAGCCATTCCCAATTTGGGTTCCCCAGAGGACCCCTTGGGAAGATGCTATTAGGGTGGAGGCCAGAAGGGTTCCAGTGCCAGGTGAATTTGGGACTCAGTGCTGCTTCCATCCCCTCCTGGAGGTCACAGTGCCCACTAGTGGGGTCTCCTGGCTCTGAGAAGTTCTTCAGGCAAAGGATGGAGGACAGCCCTCCAGTTCCTCTGGCCCTCCCTGCTGCCCCTCCCCACTTGTCATTTCCCTGAGGTCCCCCACTGGCCCTGTCCTTACAGGTGCCCAAAGCTGAGAAAACTCATCCTGAACAAGAACCGCCTGGTGACGCTCCCAGAGGCCATCCACTTCCTGACGGAGATTGAGGTCAGGCCAGGCTGGGCCAGTGCTGGGGCTGGGGGGGGGCTAGCGGGTTTGCCCTGGAGGGGAGGCCTCCTGGTGGGGGAAGGTGAGCCCCATCATTCCTAGTGCCCTCCACAGCCAGCCACAGAGGCAGCCAGGATGGACGCCCTGGTCCTGGCCCCTGCAGACAAGAATCAGAAGCCAGGCTCTGTGTGGCTGGGAGGGGGACCTGGACCAGCGCCAGCTCTGCTCCTCCCTGCTGCAGGTCCTGGATGTGCGGGACAACCCCAGCCTGGTCATGCCACCTAAGCCTGCTGACCCCGCTGCTGAGTGGTACAACATCGATTTCTCGCTGCAAAATCAGCTGCGGCTGGCAGGTGCCTCCCCTGCCACAGTGGCTGCCGCAGCAGCTGGTAAGTTAGGGAACATCGGGCTTGGGAGCCAGGATGCCTTTCTGGACATGGAGGATGGGGTTGGATGCCCAAGGGCAGGTCCCCGTAGGGCTCAGCTGCACACCCTTTCCCCAAGCTGGGAGCGGGCCCAAGGACCCCCTGGCTCGCAAGATGCGGCTGCGGAGGCGAAAGGACTCGGCCCAGGACGACCAGGCCAAGCAGGTGCTGAAGGGCATGTCAGATGTGGCCCAGGAGAAGAACAAGAAACAGGAGGTGAGCCGAGACGGGACAGGCACACCACGCCTTGCTACCAAGGCAGGGGCATGGCTCCTGAGAGACCAAAGCAGACACCTAGAGATGAGATGGGAGACATGAGGGTCACTGAAAAGTGCTTATGAGGAAGATCCAGTGGTGACGGGCTTGACAGGGGCTTCTCCAGAAAGTCCAGGGCAGCTGGCTGGACAGTGCGCTTCCATTTCCCACAGTGCCTCAGGTGCTTCACCTGAAAACAGCTTCTCCGTCCCCTGCTGCACTCTGTCCAGTGGCGGCTGGACAAGCACATCCCTCTCACAGTCCCCTGATCCACACCAGTTACTGCAGAGGAGGGGTTATAGGTCAGGGTACAAAGCAGCATCCGCTTACCTTGCTTGTCCTAGTGTATGACCAGCACACCAGGGAACTCGGCACGTGTGTGAGAAAGCAGCTCTCTGCAAATAACACTGACTTATCCTAGTTCGTTCCCAGCGTATGTGAGAAGAGTCATTGTCCTTCAAGATGACATTTATCTGGACTTTGCAGCCTAGACTCACTCTCATCGATGCCTTAACTTGGCTGGGTTCTCAAGAATAGAGGGGCACTTTAGGGACATGGTATTTAACTGTCCTCCTCTTCTCCAAGAATGACACAGGACCCTGGGCAGATGGAATGTCCCGCGCAAAGGCCCTGGGGTGGGTAACAAGTAGTGGCTTTGCAGAGTCAAGCCATGTACTCTGACTGTGCCCCCAGGAGAGTGTGGACGCTAGGGCCCCCGGAGGGAAGGTGCGGCGCTGGGACCAGGGCCTGGAGAAGCCACGCCTCGACTACTCAGAGTTCTTCACGGAGGATGTGGGCCAGCTGCCAGGCTTGACCATCTGGCAGATTGAGAACTTTGTGCCGGTGCTGGTGGAGGAAGCCTTCCATGGCAAGTTCTATGAGGCCGACTGCTACATTGTACTCAAGGTGAGGCTGACCCTCTGGGGTCCATGTGGCCTCCAGTCTCCTAATCACAGTCTCCACCTGCACCTAGGTCCTGTGAGAGCTGGAGGTGGGCAGGCCAGGTACAGGCAGGGTGGTGGAGGGAAGCCAGGCTGGGCCCCAGGAAGCTCATGGCTAGTGCCTTGGCTCGCAGACCTTTCTGGACGACAGCGGCTCCCTGAACTGGGAGATCTACTACTGGATCGGCGGGGAGGCCACACTGGACAAGAAGGCCTGCTCTGCCATCCACGCCGTCAACCTGCGCAACTACCTGGGTGCTGAGTGCCGCACCGTGAGGGAGGAAATGGGCGACGAGAGCGAGGAGTTCCTGCAGGTACCAGCCAGGCGGGGGCGGGAATCTGGGGTGCCGAGGGAGCTGGCCCAGAGGCAGGCAGGGGGCACTGCTGGAGTGGGGCAGGGAGATGAGGCCAAAGACGCTGGGCTTGAGGGTCCCCAGGGAGCTGGAGGCAGAGGCAAGACGGAGGTCTGGGGAGACCAAAGGCCGCCAGAACCTGGGTTGGTGGAAGTGGGGTGGGGTCAGTGGTTGAGGGGAGGATGGCAGGCAGGGTGGAGGCTGTGAGGCCAATAGGCCGACACAGGGGTGGGAACCAGGTCCAAGGATTTGGGCCAAGAGAGGTGGGAGCTGTTGGGGGACAGGACCACAGGCTGGGTGCCAGGGAAGTGGGGCCAAGCCCAGCCTGGAATACAACACAGAGCCAGGTCAGCAAGGTACCCCACCAGGGTCACCAGCTGGTTGTCCGTAGACACTCCACATCTTGAGATCTTACCCAAGTTCACTGAGGTTTGCACTCCTCTGTGAACCACCTGTGCACACCCCTCGACATGTTGCCCCCACCTTTACAACACGGGTGGACACATTCATGTCATTGGGTCCCTATGCCCCAGTATGTGTGTGTTTATGAGCAAAGACTATTTTTGCTCCTTAACATCATCAGGGATTGGTAGCACCTGAGTCACTGCACCCAGCCTGGCAGGGCGTCTGGTTGGGGGAGGGGACAACCTGGTGAAGAACCCATGGCCTCACACACACACAGGTGTTTGACAACGACATCTCCTACATTGAGGGTGGAACAGCCAGTGGCTTCTACACTGTGGAGGACACACACTATGTCACCAGGTGAGGGGGTGGGAGTGTGGCACTGGCCTGCACTCTGCCAGGAAGGGTTGTATGGGAATGTGTTAGGAGTAAATCGGCCCCTTGGTCCACACTGAGCCACTCTTGTCCTGGTCCTCAGGATGTACCGTGTGTATGGGAAAAAGAACATCAAGTTGGAGCCTGTCCCCCTCAAGGGAGCCTCCCTGGATCCAAGGTGAGACCCCATGATATGAGGTAGAGGTGTTTGACCATCAGCCTCCTCTCTGCCTACAGGGTGCAGGTTTGGACCTCCTGAAAGAGGGGGCCCTCTAGCAGCACCCTTTTAACGCCTGTCCCACAGAGCTTGGCAGAAGGGCCCGTGAGGCCCTCTGAGAAAGGGGAGCTTACAGCCCATAATGATGGATTGTTTCTGGTGGAATCTGGGGTGTGGGACAGTCATTGTCCCCATGCCCCATCATAGCTCCTCCTTTCAAGGTTTGTGTTCCTGCTGGACCGAGGGCTGGACATCTATGTGTGGCGGGGGGCCCAGGCCACACTGAGTAACACCACCAAGGCCAGGTATGAGGGTATGGTATTGTGATTTTGTGCAAAGGAAAAGTATCATCTAAGAAGGGGTGTGGTCTCACTGAGAGCTTTGCATCTTGTTCTCAGGCTCTTTGCAGAGAAAATTAACAAGAATGAGCGGAAAGGGAAGGCAGAGATCACTCTGCTGGTGCAGGGCGAGGAACCCCCAGAATTCTGGGAGGCTGTGGGTGGGGAGCCCTCTGAGATCAAGAAGCATGTGCCTGACAACTTCTGGCCACCCCAGCCCAAGCTGTACAAGGTAAACCATGGTGTTGGGGTATGGGGTTAACCTGATTTCACTAGCCAGCTGGGGTCTGGGGACAGGCTAGCAGCACTGTGGTGGCTGTGGAATTTGGCCAGAGGAGGGTGCCCCCTCTGGAGTCTGGCTCTAAGAACAACAGCATGCATGTTACTAAAGGAACTTGGGCCTGGAGGGGGAGACATAGAGCCTGGTACCAGGCTCCCAACTTTAATTTTGTATGTGGCAGGAAACTGGGGTTGTCTTGTGAGCAGGAAAGAGTCAAGAAAATTAGCAACAGTAAGGATCTGGAGAGGGCAGACAAGGAAAGCACCATTTTAAAAGCCTTGCCTTGCCGGAGTTGGGCACAGTGGCACACACCTGTGATCCCAGCAATTTGGGAGGCTGAAACAGGGGGATTGTAAGTTCAAAGCCAGCCTGGGGATTTAGTAAGACCCTGTTTCAAAATAAAAAAATTAAAATTAGAGAAAGGTTTGGGGAGGTAGTTCAAAAATAATAATTGGGGCTGGGGCTCAGTAGAAGAGCACTTGCCTAACATGTCTGAGGCACTGAGTTCAATTTTCAGCACCACATATAAATAAGTGAATAAAGTAAAGGCCCATCAACATCTAAAAAAATCTTTTTAAATTATAATAATAATAAATTTTTAAAAATAGAAATAAAAGCCCTTCCACTGGCTGGGGATATAGCTCAGTAGTAAAGTACCTGGCAAGACCTGGTTTCCATCCCCAGTACCAAAAATAAATAAATAAATAAAAGCCCTTCCATAGAGTATCCTTAAAAAGACTTTGGGGTAGAAAAGGAAAAAACAGATCTCAAGATGAACGGATGTGGCTTGAGCAAAGGAGGCTGGACTCCAAATCAGAAGGCTGTTGTGGGTGGGGCTGATGTCCCGGACCCAGTCTTTGCCGTGCCCATCTCTTCCTCCTGCCAGGTGGGCCTGGGCCTGGGCTACCTGGAGCTGCCGCAGATCAACTACAAGCTCTCCGTGGAACATAAGAAGCGGCCCAAAGTGGAGCTGATGCCTGGGATGCGGCTGGTGAGGTGCACAGAACCGGGTACGGGGCTGGGATCTCTTCCAGGTGGCAAGTATTTACCTCCAGCCTCTGATCTCCAGCTGCAGAGCCTGCTGGACACGCGCTGTGTGTACATCCTGGACTGTTGGTCCGACGTGTTCATCTGGCTTGGCCGCAAGTCCCCACGCCTAGTGCGTGCTGCTGCGCTCAAGCTGGGCCAGGAACTGTGTGGGATGCTGCACCGACCACGCCACGCCACGGTCAGCCGCAGCCTCGAGGGTACCGAGGCGCAGGTGTGCTCCGGGATCCAGAGGCCAGCTTCCCTCTATCTGCATACCCCAGGGTCCCCTGGCCCCTCTGTGGTTGGTTGCTCTGCTAACCTGCAGAACGGGTCCAAACCTTTCTGTGGAACCACCTCTTCTACAAACTGCCCCTCCTAGTTCTGTTTCTTAGACTCCACCTCCCCAGGCCCACCCCACGTCCTCCCCTGACCCCAGCCCTTGGGCCCCAACCTTCGAACCCTAAGATTAACTCTGCTGGACCTCTCCCCGCTGCTCTCCCTTAGGTGTTCAAGGCCAAGTTCAAGAATTGGGACGACGTGTTGACCGTGGACTACACGCGCAACGCGGAGGCTGTCCTCCAGGGCCCCGGGCTCTCTGGGAAGGTGAAGCGTGATGCGGAGAAGAAAGACCAGATGAAGGCGGACCTCACCGCGCTCTTCCTGCCAAGGCAGCCGCCAATGGCATTGGCCGAGGTGGGTGGGGCCTGGGTGCTGGGCGGGGCCGAGGTAGGGCCAGGGAGGGGCCAAGTGAGTTAGGCCCATGGGGGCACGTACTGCCACCTGCAGGCGGAACAGCTCATGGAGGAATGGAACGAGGACCTTGATGGCATGGAGGGCTTCGTGCTGGAGGGCAAGAAATTTGCACGGCTGCCTGAGGAGGAGTTCGGCCACTTCTACACGCAGGACTGCTACGTTTTCCTCTGCAGGTGCCACCAAAGCACGCCTCCCTCTCGTCTTCCTCTGGGATTGGGGGTTCCAGCTCCTGTTCACTAACCTCTAACCCCACAGGTACTGGGTACCCGTGGAGTACGAGGAGGAGGAGAAGGAAGGCAAGGAGGATGGAAAGGCCGGGGCAGAGGGCAAAGAAGGCGAGGACGCAGCGGTGGAGGCCGAGGAGAAGCAGCCCGAGGAGGACTTCCAGTGCATCGTGTACTTCTGGCAGGGTCGGGAAGCCTCCAACATGGGCTGGCTCACCTTCACCTTCAGTCTGCAGAAGAAGTTTGAGAGCCTCTTCCCTGGCAAGCTGGAGGTACACCCAGCTGTACTCGGGGCTGTGTTCCCATGACCTTGGAAGCAAGGGGAGTGGGACCCAGTCCAAGGGAGGCTTGGGATCTAGGGGGCTGCCCCTGATTCTTCCACATCCTCAGGTGGTACGAATGACGCAGCAGCAGGAGAACCCCAAGTTCCTGTCCCATTTCAAGAGAAAGTTTATCATCCACCGGGGCAAAAGAAAGGTGGCCCAGGGCACCCTGCAACCAAGCCTCTACCAGATCCGGACCAACGGCAGTGCCCTCTGCACCCGGTGCCTGATGGGGTGGGCAGTGGTTGGCAGGAGTCGGGGAGCAAGCCCTGTCTCTTTACTGACACCCCTCCTCACCCAGGTGCATCCAGATCAACACTGACTCCAGCCTCCTCAACTCAGAGTTCTGCTTCATCCTCAAGGTGGGGTGTGGGTGTGAGCCAGGACCACAGAGCAAGATGGCAGATGGGGTGTTGGTCATGACCCAAAGCCCCTGTACACTCCACAGGTTCCCTTTGAGAGTGAGGACAACCAAGGCATTGTGTATGCTTGGGTGGGAAGGGCATCAGACCCCGATGAAGCCAAACTGGCAGAAGACATTCTGAACACCATGTTTGACACCTCCTACAGCAAACAGGTGAGGTGGGGGTAGGTGGGCAGGTGAGCCAGAGCATGTGAGCTTTGGGCTGAACTGACCCTCCCACAGGTCATCAACGAAGGTGAGGAACCTGAGAACTTCTTTTGGGTCGGAATAGGGGCACAGAAGCCCTATGACGATGACGCTGAGTACATGAAGCACACACGGCTCTTCCGGTAGGGCCCTGTCCACTCCCCCAGCTTCCTTCTTCGTCCTGACCCTGTTGCATGTGACCTTGGCCTCATTTTGACCCCTAGGTGCTCCAATGAGAAGGGCTACTTTGCAGTGACTGAGAAATGCTCTGACTTTTGTCAAGATGACCTGGCAGATGATGACATCATGTTGCTAGACAATGGCCAAGAGGTGAGACACCACCCCCATCTCACTGACCCTGCCTGTTAGAGGAGGAGCCCCTCCATTTGGAAATAGGAATTACAGAATCACAAGAGGCACATTCCCACTCACCTGTGTGACCACCTTGCCTATTGTCCCTGCCAGGTCTACATGTGGGTAGGGACCCAGACAAGCCAAGTGGAGATTAAACTGAGTCTGAAGGCCTGCCAGGTGAGTGGGGACAGATGCACAAGGCAGGTCTTGGGGTCTGGGAAGACTTCCTGTAGCCACTGTTCTCCTTCCTTTCCAGGTGTACATCCAGCACATGAGCTCCAAAGAGCACGAGCGACCCCGCCACCTGCGCCTGGTCCGCAAGGGCAACGAGCAGCATGCCTTTACCCGCTGTTTCCATGCCTGGAGCACCTTTCGCCAGCCCCTGGCCTAAGCAGTGGCTTTTAGGCCTCAGGCCCTTGACAAGAGGTGCCTCCATCCACCACCTGCTCACTGAAAGTGTGCACAGGTGACAGCCCTACTTTATTACTCACCAGTGTCCCAGCACCCAGCAGCACTCAGCCCCAGGCCACACCATTGGCAGAGTGGGGGATGTTCTAGGAACCAGCTGTCAGGCTCAGTGTAAGCCTGCCCCATCCGCACCCCGGGCCAGGGATACGGCAGATGCTGTTGCCCTTTAAGAGATATTAAATGCTTTTATTTTCAATATTAAAAAATCAGTATTTTTAATATTAAAACAGCGCTAACTTTAAAAAAAAAATGATAAGAAAAAAAAAAAAAAAACCCAAGGTACAATCTACAGGGAAGCCCATCCTAACCAGCCTCCAAACACACACACACCCTGACTGGGCCTCAGCTCTGGGTGCCAGTCTCTCTCTCTCTCTCTCTCACACACACACACACACACACACAGAGAGAGGCTGGGACAGGGTAGCCCAGGAGCAAGTACCAAAATAGTTTTAGAAAGGACTGTCCAGCCCAGCCCAGGCATTAGAAAAATACTCTTTGCAAAGGGGAAAGGATGGTGCATGGAGGGGGAAGTGGTCCAGCCGCCCCGCCCACCTGCTGTGTCCCTGTCCCCACGTCAGCAGCTCTAGGGCAGCCAACTGCTTTTAAGATGTTTCAGACATCCTGGGCCCAGAGATTCCAGGCTGCCCGGTGCCTTCACTTTGGGCTGTGGCAGCTCCAGGGCCCAGCATTGTCGGGGACAGGACAGCAAGTCCCACTGGGCCAACAGGTTAGCAAGTAGAGTCTATATTATGAGGCTTGGGATCCAGGACCCCAGCTTCAGAGCAGAGTAGGCAGTGGCTGGGACAGTGCTGGCCTTTCTGAGTCTGAAGGCCTGCCAGGTGAGTGGGGACAGATGGACAGGGCAGGTCTTGGGGTCTGGGAAGACCTCCTGTGGCCACTGTTCTCCTTCCTTCCCAGGTGTACATCCTGTACAGGAGCAACAGAGGGGGCTCTGGGGGCAGACGGCCTGCCCAAGGCAGCCCAGCAGTTGGACCAGGTTACATAGGTGCCCCTACTCAGCCTCCTGACTAGGACAGCAGGAAGGGTCCTTTAATGACAGTCTGAGGTGGACTTGCTGAGGCGCTAGCTGGATATCCAAGTGCTGGCCACATGTGACCTGCTCAAGCCAGGATGGGGTACTGCTGACCCCAGGACCAAAGAGAGAATAGGCAGCGTCTGTGCCCAGTGCTGCAGGGTGGACAGGGGCACTAGGGACTAAGTAGGTCACACAGATCTAGGGGCCTGAGGTAAGCAGAGGCAAGCGAGACCTTTCGCTGGGCCCAGGGTTTTGGGCTGATCCAGCAAGACTCACCCTTGGACCCTGGTGACTTCCTGGGAGAAGGGCTGGCCAAACAGGCCCCAAATCCCTACCATTGCACCTCCTAGTGGTTAGTCCTGGTCCTGCTCCAGACACGCTCAGGACCTCTAAGGGCCAACAACTGGGCCTCTAACTATGAAGACAGTGCTGGTGTATGGCTCCTGAACTGGTGGGACATCCTGTGAGAGGCGACCAGGCTCCGGGAGCCCCGTCACTGCAGGGGCTGCCATGGAGCCCACTGCAAGCCCAGGACAGGGACCCCCAAAAGGTTGCACTGCTGACTGGTGAGAAACAGGTGGGCCTGGGCCCTGCCCTGCCGCGCCTCATTTGATCAGGATGGTGCAGGTGGGGGCCTCATCTTCTGTCAGGTTCCTCAGGTTCCTTTCTGATTCCTCAGAGCTGGGAAGGGTGATGATCAGAAGGGTCAGGGCTAGAGGAGCCTTTGTGGCCCTAAGAAAGGGGCTGGAGAGATAGGGAGCTGGCCTCACCCCAGAAAATCCTTCACATCCTCCACTGTGACATCCCCTGTTGTGTCCAGAGTGGTGTCGGCACTGGTGGCTGAGTCGATGGACATGGGTGAGAGAGTGGCCTCAGGTGGCTCTGGGGTGTCTGCGGGAGGAAGTAATCAGCCCCTGCCAGGACCTCTCTACACCCTCTCCACAGGGAACAGACTCTTAATGCAGCCTACAGGGGATGTCACCTCGACAGGCACACACCCACCCAGCCCTGCCCAGCTTCCAGCCCTGGGTCAGCTGTCCCCTCCCGCAGAAGCCTGCCTACAGACAGCACCACCCTTCTCTAGGAGTGATGGGTCCCCTTTCATGCCCCACTCACCAGCTCCCTTGTGGGCAGGATCAGGACTTCCATCACGACTCTGTGGAGCCAGGATGATGCTTGGGTTCCCATTAGCCTGGCTCAGCTTGGGTGACTCTTGGACCCTAGGGCACAGATGGGGTCGTGATATGGACCACGGCAATGCTGCATACCTGCCTTCCTGCCCGAGCCTGAGGCATTACACCAGCCAGGACAGTTCCCAGGGTTGGGTGAGACCTGGCCCTGTCTAGAGGCCCCCTGCCAGGGGCTGCCTCCCCACTTACCTAGCCTGGGTGGCATCACGGGGCCAGCTGATGTCCAGAGAGCAAAGTGGCTCTGTGATATTGCGGGCACTCAGGGAGAAGCGTTCAAATTCTGATGGTGAGATCAGGTAAAAGCCTGTGTGGCAGGAGAGAGGAGGGAGTGCGCTTAGGAGCCGTGATGAGTCCCAGCCTTCTACGGGTTCCCTGCTCCAGTCTGTGCTGGCAGGCCTTCATGCTGACCATTCCCAGGTAGCCCCCTGGCCCCACTCAGGTCCCTTTTCTTCCTGGCCACTCTGGCTCACCTTGGCCATGGCGCGTGAAGACACATGAGGCAATGCCGCTGATGTCCTCCTTCCGGATGCAGGAGTACTGCACCTGGGGCCGCAGGCCAGGCACCGAAAACACGTGCACATCACCCAGGTTTGTGAGGCAGGCCAGGCAGGTCTCGGCATAGTCCTCACAGGCCACACTGGCAAATGTGGCCAGAGCCACCTTGCGTACACGACAGCCCTCGTGGGCTGTCAGCTTGAACTTCGTCTTGGCACTCACCTTAGGCAGTGTGAACACCTGGTGGCAGATGGTCAGTGAGCAGGGCCTGGCCCAGTCCTCAGACCCCTTATTCACTCATGGTTGCAGACCACCAGCCCCCAGCTCACCCCAAAGGCCTCAGGTGGCCATACTGCCACCCTGCTTAGCCAGCCACCCTCTCCTCCTGCAGACTCAACCTGGGCTTCACTGTGTCCAGAAACCTCTGGCCTCCTTTACTGGCTACATCAACCACATCGACTCCTAAAGCTCTGTCTGGTATCCCTACCAAATCATAAACCCCTGGGACTGGACTCAAGGGGTCCCCACCATGCCTAGAGCCTTGTGGTGAGCAGGTCGTGGGGGGAGCTCAGCAGGTTTGGGCATCAAGATTCCACAGGGGCTGGCTGGGGGCACTGTGATGGGGCAGGATTTGGAAGGTCTCAGCAGGCAGAGGATGGAGGTAGGGATGGGGCTCTAGAGGAGAGTCTCCACAGCCCCAGCAGCTCACCTTGAACTGTTCCTCAGAGGCGATGAGCACAGCATGCCCACCCTGCATATCAGGCGCCTGTGCCAGGTCCCGAGAGGCCTCATAGGGCTCAGGCAGTGGGCGACCACGCCCATCCAGCACAGCGATGGCCACCACAGGTGCCCGATGCATCAGCTGCACCTCCTTGCCCAGCACAGCCTCCACTGCCCGCTCAGGCCGCTTCTCACCACCTGCCACAGCTGCTGGCACCTCCAGCGCATAAGCAAACACGGAGCCCGAGTTCGTGCCTGCCCACATGGTGGGCCCATGGTGGGCTGCTGCAGGGCACAGACACAGTGAGGAAGGCACTCCCTGCAGGTCCTTCCCCACCTCTCCTGCACCGCCTGTCCCTTACCTCCCCAGGTAACCTCAACCTAACCTACTGCATGGCCTGAGAGGCCAGCTCTGCAGCTGACTCAAGTCTCAGCCTGGGATGTAGCCCTTGTGCAGAGGCACAAGCTATTTAAGAGCACCCGCATGAGGATTTCAGTGGCCCCCAAACTATACCCTGATCTTGCCAACCCTTCCTGCTGTACCCTCTTTCCTGTCACTCATGCCCCAAGCCCCACAAGCCATCTCCCCCTACTACCCATCACTGATCTGTCCACACACTAGTTATCAGGCTCACCCTGCAGTGCACACTGGCCCTCCTCATCCCTATGTAGCTTGTTCCCCACATGGTGACCAAAGGGTGCCTTTACCAAAGAACCCTGGGCCTGGGAAGAAATGAACCAGGGCTCTTACCCAGGACCCCATCCCCCCTGCCATGTGTGAACTGAGTGGAGAATCAGAGCCACACAAGGCCATATTCCCAGGGCAGGCATGGACATCTGCCACTCTGCATCCTTGAGAACCGAGGCACCAGAGCAACAGCCACTGGGAGCCCAGCCCCAGGTGAAAAGTCCCAGCAATGAAGCATGTCAGCTGCAAGACAGGAGCCCAGAGCAGGACGTGGAACAGTGAAACCCCAAGGCTGTATCAGCCACGTCCAATGGGAAACCTACTGGACAAAGATCCTCCAAAATTAAATGATATCAGAAAGAGGAGACCCAACCTGAACACGAACTGAGACTTGGGAATAGCCTGGGTTCCATGGGACATGAATGGGCAGCAGGGTTGTGCCTGGGTTTCTGTTTAAAAACTTCAGCAAGATTCAACAGCAGTGTGGGGTAGCATAAAACAGAAGTACACACCTGCTGATGGTGGGTGAGGTGCATGGGATGACATTTTTGTGTCATCCCATTTTGGGGGGATGTACTCCCATTTTTGTGTTTGAAATTTACCATTATACATTGTAAAGATCAAAGAACAAACCAATATACCCAGGACCTTACAGGGGCTCCAAGCCACCCAGACAAAGCCATGTCCTCAGCACACTGGCATGGTGGCCAATACAGAGCAATCTTAGCCTCTCCCTTCTCTGCCCTCACTCAACTCACCCTAGCCCTGTGGCTCTGTGGCTCCTACCCACAGCCGTAGGCCCTTGGCACCAGCCTGTCCCTTACTGGATCTCAGACCTTGGGCTCCCTTTTCTTTTTTTTTTCTTCCCAACACTGGGGACTGAACCCAGGGGCCCTCTACCACTGAGCTGCATCCCCAGTCCTTTTTAAATTTTGAGACAAGGTCTCACAAAGTTGCCCAGGCTGGCCTCCAACTTGCAATCCTGCTCCTCCTCCTCATTTGCTAGGATGAGAGGTGCTGGCTCCTTCTTTTTTTGGGCCAGGGAGGGGTGTACTGGGGATTGAACTCAGGGGCCTCAACCACTGAGCCATATTCCCAGTCCTTTTTTATATTTTATTTAGAGACAGGGTCTTGATGAGTTGCTTAGGTCCTCACTAAATTGCTGAGGCTGGCTTTGAATTCACAGTCCTCCTGCCTCAGCCTCCTAATCTGCTGGGATTACAGGTGTGCATCACCACTCCCAGCAGTTACCTTTCTTGCTCAAGTCTGCGGGGTCTGCCCAGATCACTAGCAATACCTCACCATCAGCCCCAGCTGGCAGGTGGGGCTGTATGGTAGCCAGGGTGTCCCCATCACCAGTGCAGCCCCACACAGTGGATGTTCAGTGATACTCTCCGATGTCCTGGAAGGCCTGGTCCCACTGCTTCTCCCCACCCGTTTCCTAGATAAACAACTGAAGCCAGCCTCTCCAATCCCCGACCCGGCACTGGCCTCACCATCTCGAAGGAATGTGTCAGCAAAGTAGAGGCAGCGCACGACACCAGAGAGGGAATCATCAGCAGAGCGGGGCTCGATGCGGCGCTGCACGGGTGTCATCTCAACATCATGGGGACAGGCCTGTTCAGCCAGCTGTGCATTGGCCTCCTGCAACTAGAAGGAGCAGGGGCTCCTGAACGTGGTCTCCCTGATTCCCAGCTGCTCTCATTCTGCTTGCCTGACATTGATCATCACCCATCCACCACATTTCTAGCCCACTCCACTCGTGCAGGGGGCTGAGCAGGGAGCACAGTGAGTGCAGGAACCCTGGGGCTCTGGGCCAGGACAGCTCCCAGGCAGCCCACCCCACTCACCTTGCTGTTGGCATTAGCCACACGCTTCTTGCCTGAGACGCGGCTCTTGCGGATACGCCGGAAAGACTGGCGCAGTGACTTCTTAAGGGACTTCACCCGGGACAGTGGCCCCTCCATGGCCAGGGAGTCATTGGGATGAAGAGTACACCTGGGGACAGATAGGAGCCAGTCATGCAAGGAGCAGCCATTCCTGCTGGCCCCAAGGCCAGCACTGCAAACCCCAGCTCAGGAGGTCAAAGCCCCTCTGGCACTGCCTTGTGGTCCCAACAGCTGCTGGTGCTTAGGGTGTCCCTCAGAGCTGCCAGTGATTTCTCACAAGGCCACAGAGGTTCCCAGGACTTTTAAAACCAGCCTGCTTTGGCCATACCAAACTTCAGAAAGGAAGACTCAGACCCAGATCCCATCTCACTGGGACTCCAGCCGCCCGTCCACCTGACCTCCCCACACACCTGGCCAGCACTGGGCTCTTGCGCTGGTAGTCAAACAGGCCAAAGCCATGGCTGGTGCCAAAGGCTACAAGGCTCCATTCGGCGTGGAGTGTGACGGCGGTGACAGCAGCAGGTGGCAGGCACTGTACGAGCACACGGGGCTGGAAGCCAGCAGGCCAAGGCAGTGGCCCTGTACGTGGGCTCAGCCGCTCGTGGCCCTTCCACGTGAAGCCTTCTCGATCCTGGAGGAGGTCTACACTGGCCACACTAACTGCCTGCTCTGTCGGCACATCGCTGAGCTCGAGCACCAGCACCTAAGCCCCAGCCAGGGCAGGGAGGAATCAGTACAGAGCAGGGTGCCCCTGGCCCCACCCCAGCCAAAGGTGCTAACCACCAAGCAACATCCCAGCCCTTTTTAAAAAAAAATTTTTTTTGACAGGGTCTCACTAGGTTGCTGAGGTTGACTTTGAACTTACAATGCTCCTGCCTCAGCCTCCTGAGTAGCTGGGATTACAGGTGTGCACCACCAAACCCAGCAGGATAAGTACTCTTTGAATGCTTCCTGTACACCAAAGCCCTCACTGAGCATCAAGGAACATAGTGGACACCAAAACTAACTGATGCCTTTTTTTTTTTTTTAGAATTTTTAATATTTATTTTTTAGTTTTCAGCGGACACAACATCTTTGTTTGTATGTGATCGAACCCAGGCCGCACGCATGCCAGGCGAGCACACTACCGCTTGAGCCATATCCCCAGCCCCTGATACCTTACCTCACAGACAGATAATTCAATCTTACCTGAGCCTATCTTTCACTTAGCAATAAGCACACATTAAGCACCTTCTGTATACTGTGCAAATACTAAGGATATGGCACTGACCAAGTCCCACTGGTCTGTCTCTCTTAGAATGAAGTGCCCTCCCTTTTCCCCAAGTCTCTGTCTCATGGCAATAAGCTCATACTGAGTATCTTCTGTATACTGTGTAAGTGCCAGAGGCATAGATAGCATTGCCTGAGATCCACTAGTCCTTGCGCTCCCAGAGTTCATTTAACTCTCACATTCCTGCTCCCGGACCTAAACCTCCATGGTTTCCCTGCCAGAGCCTCACTCAAGGCACCCAGTGACAGACCCCACTTGGTACCTGTCCTCATTCCAGCCATCCCCAGGTAGGCCCCATTCCCACCCACTACCAGACTCTTCATTTCAGGCCCACCTCTTCTAGGAAGCTCCCCTGTCATGCCCAACTTGGGGACATCAGCCTTACCTGGCCTGCAGTGCCAGCCACCACCATCTGAGCTGTGTACTTGCAGAGCGCAACCTTCTGCACACCAAGCCGGGGATCATCACTGTAGGGGTCAAAGCAGCCCACCTGAGGGGACAGGAGGGAATGAAGACACTGGGCAGAGCCAGGACAGGCTCCATGAGGGGAGGAGTCTCACCTTGCGGAAGGGTGGCCAGTCGTCCTCAGCAGCCTGGCCCAGGCTGTCGGTATGTTCACAGTCTGTCTGGAAGAGGCCAGCTGTGCTCAGCTTGTAGAGCGGCCGCAGCGCCACACCAGATGCATCCCAGAACCGCACAGTGCCATCCTCGTGGCTAAAGGGAGGGCAGATGTCAGGACCATCCCTGGGAGGCCTGCACACCCCTTCTTCCATGAGTCCATCAGCTATTCACTGAGCACCTACTGCATATACCAAATACAGGTTGAAAGCATGGGACACACATTAAGCTTCTATCAGATAAGGCAAACAGGTACTTGGTACATGTAGGCCAAACTACTTCTATCACATGCACCTGGGGCTTTGAACAGGGTGGGAAGGTGTGGTAACGATGACCATGAAGACCAGGAGATGGCGGAGGGCAAAATGCAAGAATAGAAGACTAGGTCAATTCTTTCCCATTGGAGTTACCCAGCAATCAGAAAGGACACAGTGACCAGGAGCCAGGCCGTCACAGAACAGAGTACAGGGAAGCCCAGGAGAGACCAGCTGAGGCCCAAGGTAGCCATATAAGCAGAACAGCAGTAAGACTGGGGAGGCAAGAAGGAAGCAGGCAGGGGCTGGGGGAGGAGCAGACAAATCTAGGGCACCGCTTCAGGACACGCTGTAGAGCCCAAGTGAGGTCCCTGGGCAGTAGGGGAGCCCAGAGTCAGGGCATGACGTGTGTGTAGACAGGGCTGGAGCCCGAAAAACACAGTAAATTCTTAAGCTATGGAAGGCTTGCTGCTGTCGGAGGTTGGAGGGTTCCACCACAGGCAGGAAGAAAGGGCAGGACAGGAAGTAAGGCCTGAGTCACCAGGCACGTCAGTGCCCGCCAGGCCCAGGTCAGGCTCTGCAGCACCTGCCTTGGGCAACTTGGCGTGGGCCAGCCCAGATTTTCCGGTCCCAAGGCAGGCAGGCCAGGTGGGTGGAGCCTTGGGGTTTGCTGGAGCTGAGTTCCAGGCCAAAGGCAGAGCAGGGTGGAGCCCTGAGCCAGGATCTAGGGAGGCTTCATCCAATCCACCCCAGGCAAGGGGGGACAACCTGGGCCTGCTACAGCCAGCACTGAGTCACCTGGCATCTCAGTTCCTGCAGGATCTGGGATGGGCAAGGGGCATGCCAGGCCTGGTGAATACAGGATTTTGCTCAATGCACATCCCTAACACCTACCCAGTCAGCAGCAGCCCTCGCTGTGATGGCTCCTGGGCCAGGTTCCGGCCCCCAGTAATGGGCCAGCTCTAGAAAAGGACAGTAAAGATGTGAACACAAGGTCAGGACCAAAGACACGTCCCCCTCCCCCTGGGCATACAATTCAGTATTTCCCCACATCCCCACCTTCAGGCCTGAGCCCAGCATTCCAACAGGAACACACTCCCTCCATAACACCTCACCCACAGGACACCTGGGCACCCACCGAGGCACTGGAGATGAGCTGGGGGCTCTGCTGCTCGCCAGCACTCACGATGCGGGCCCACAGCTTGGCAGGGACATTAGCAACATGGGCAGAGCAGGTGATGGCCGATGAGTGCAACGGGGCCAGGTAAGGGGCAGGCACAGATGGCCAGCCAGGTGTCTGTAGGTCAAGCACCACCAGTTCCTCTTCCAGAAGCACAGCCAGAGCCTGTGGGTCGTCGAATTCTGTGGGATGGAGCAGGGTGAGCTCAGTCACAGGCAGTGTTTGGCGGGGTTGGGAAAGGTAGGGCACACACCATCCTCAGGCCGTGTGCTATGCACTGTGAAGAAGTCAATGATGCGGGAGGTGAAGTCCAACGTCACCAGCGTCTCAGCTCGCAGCACACTCACACAGTGGCGGTCACCATAGCTGGCGCGGGGCATACCACCACTGAAGATGATGAAGTGGCCCCTGCAAGGAAGGTCATATGAACTAGAGGCCTTGGAACACACACTGCACAACCCAGCAAGGGCTTCGCCTGTTGACCCAGAGCCCACCCTTCCCCCAAGCCAGGTGCAACCCCCCCACCCACATACTCCCTCACATACCCCGATTCACAGTTCCGCCACAGAATCTTGTTGATGGCCTTGCAGGGAAAGGGGCCTGGGGAGTTGGGACAGCGTCAGACCTCCCATTCCTGGTCTACCTTGAAGCTTCCTCCTGCCTCTCCCCAGGGGAAAGCAACATCACCCCAACCATCCCCCCAAGGGGTCTCCCTTTGCAGACCTGGCTGGTTATTGCCCCCCACCAAGGCCAAGTGGCCCTCTAGATGCCACCCTCTGCCTCAGGCCTCCCCAGCACTCACCATAGGGAATGGTGGCTACGGAGGGCTGCAGAGTTGGGGAGCCGCTAGTGTCCACGGGCCAGATGGCATAGCTGCCATCACTGTGCGAACTGATGATGGTACCACTGTTGCGCCCCCAACAAAGACTCTCCAACTGCTGTAATGGAGGCAGACAGGCATGAGCCTGTGGGTGTGTGCATGGGCCCAGACTAACAGAGGGCAAGCCTCACCCCTACCTGGTTCCCCAGGAAGACGTGGTCAACACACTGTGCAGCCTGGTTCCAGATGACCAGCAGGCCCCGGCTGTAGCCAATAAGAATCTTGGTGGGGTCCCGGAGGTGTCCCTGGAGTGACTCCACAGGGCCCAGAGCCTTTCCACAGCGGTAGTCGTCTGGCACACTACAGAAGGAGCCCCAGTGAATTGGGAGAAGTTTCCAGTCAGAGTGGGTGCTGGGCAGCCTGCCTATGGCTCACCTGCGCAGAACCTCATCTGGGCTGAGGGTCTGCCTCTCAAGCAGTGCCAGGGTAGTGACATCCAGGAAGTAGATGCTACCTCCCTCAGTGCCCAGAGCTGCCGTGTTGCCAGCGGCCATCAGCAGAACCACTGTGATACGGGTGAGGCTGGACGGGGTGCTGCAGAGGATATGGGTAAGAGAGTGAGCCCAACCATTTGCTGAAGAGGATGTGGAGAGGGATGGGACTTACTGCCAGTCCTACCCAGTCCCTATGCGCTCACCAGGGCCTTCTTACAGAGCAGGATGGCACCTCGGGAAGGCGACACTGCAGTGTAATTAGCCTGCTCAATTATTCATCAGGCAAGAAGAGGGATAAAAATAGGTTTCCCAAGTCTCTGAGAACTCCTGGCTCCTCCCACCACTAGGAAGCAAACTCAGGCACGGGGGCACCGCCCCAATGATGACCAGGAGCTCCAGCTCCAGGACTAACACAGCCATCCTGATCCCCACCCAGAAATCCTTTTACCAGCTCTCTGGATGCCTCCTGACTTTGAAGGAGCGCCAAATGGCCCTTACCTGCAGAGGCGAGGGCTGCCCAAAAACCAGCCCGTGGGTCAGGAATCCCCCACTCTAGCCACTATGGGCAGGGACGGGGAGGGAGAGGGCCAGGCCCATTGTGTTATATCTGGAGCATCCTGCCAACACCTACTATACCTGTGGGACCCTCCTGTCCCCAATCCTGTTTGTTCACCCATGCACACAATGGCTTACCCCCTACTCCCAACTCAAGGGGTCAGGGGACCTCTGCTTGTCTGAAACCCTGTTCCAAGCCCCAGAAACCCCCAATACCACAGGGAGTGCAGTGTCACACCACAGGCCCATGAAGTTTGGCATATAACACGTTATCTCCTAGGGCTCATGGCCACCAAAGATTCCCAGTCAGTAGCACAAACCCTGCCTGCTTGCCTCAAACCCCACCAGAACCTCCCATCTAATTTGAGAAGTCCAGAGCACAACTTAGCCAAGCAGGGTCCTCCCAGGGCCAGACTCAAACATACCCCCCCACCCCAAAGAACAGCCCTACTGGCATGCCCGTCTCTCCACACCTTGACACAGTTAGCCCTCAGGCCTCCCTAGGATATTCCCCTGCTCAGGGGTCCTCCAGTACCTGGCACCATCAAAGCCAGGCCGGCTGGGCAGCTGGAAACTGAGTGCCTCCTCCAGGTGGGCACAGCCATTATGATGGATGATTTCCCAGAGATGCAGACTGCTGTCATCTAGCAGGGTTAGGAGGCGGCCCTGCGGGGTGCAAGCAGAGACCAAAATTGGGTTGGCCTGGAGAAATGGGAGGGCATGGGAACCACAAGGAGCTGGCTGATAGGGAGCAGAAGCTCACCTGACCAGGCAGGAAGTGCATCTGAGTGACAGTGGCCGCATCCCGGTGCAGGCCCGTGAATTCCACACCGGGTGCACCATAGCTGAGGGTGACTGGTCAAGGACAGAATCATGCAGGCACAGGCCAGAAAACCTTATGCACAAGCCGCCTTCCCCAGGATAATTTTCATGGGTTTTGCCCAAGACCTACCTACCGGAGGTTCCAAGACCCAGTGAGGCCCCCTTCCTTGAAGAAGCTTCAATCCTGCATTCCCAAGGTTTCCCTAGGCTCAGAGTACAGGCTCCATGCAGTTGCTGCAAGTCAGTATTGCTTTGGGGTCTTAATTTCCTCATCTGTAAAAATGGGCTAATGGCACCTTTCAGGGCAGCTGCAAATCAAGTGAGAATAAAATCTCGCCGAGCATGCTTGGTCCAGACCTGGCACACAGGTGGGGTTCTGCTCTATTTCAACCTCAAATATTTGTATGTGCCTATGAAGGCCGAGAGCCTGGTGGGTTGGGATCTTGCAGGCCAGAGACACAAGGTCAGGCCCAAACAGGGAAGCCCAGAGCAGAGTCCAGGCTGCCTTTTACCACAGCTTCAGGCCCATCGCCAGTTCTGGGCAAAGAAATCCACTTCCCTCCAGGGCAAGTGGCCAATAACCCCCCACTGCACAAGAGCAGAGACCCCAGACTGCCCATTTTACAGATGAGCACATGGACACACGTGAAATGCTTGAAATGCCCCGTGTCAGTGCCTAGAGTCCCAATAACTCTAGGGTTGATGGTGGGTGGATGGCAAGGCCTGAGAGGGCTCAAGAGAGAGGGTTTAGGGAGGGGTCAGCAGTGTTGCCCCAGTGACAAGGCAGGAGCCAGTTGCCTGGAGCTTGAGCTGGGATTCTCTGCAGGAGCCTGGCTGGGACAGAGAAGAGGACAAAAGAGGGAGCAAGAGCAGCTGGGCGGGAAGCAGGGTCGCCAAGGAGATGGAGACTGCCCTGCAGGGGGAGGGGCAGCTTCTAAGACCACAGTTGGCCCTCTCCAGCCTCAGTTTCCTAACCCCAGGAAACTCCAGGCTATGGTGATTTAGAAGGAGGGAAGCAAAGGAGAACCCCTGGGCCTGGCCTCCTCTGAAGCTCATGTCCTCATCTGTATTTCAGGTTCACTGTGACCATGAGGAGCCAACACGCAAGAGATCAGCCACAGGAGAGAGAGCTCCAGAGCTAACAGCAAAGCCTATACAGGTGCTATGAGATATGGTGAAAGCCCTTGGGACACAGAAAAAGAGACTGCAGGGGCACACATGTGAGAGTTACACACCCACAAGAGGAGTGGGCAGCAGGCAAAGGCCCTTGAGAAAGCAGGGGGCATCTCAGCCCAGCCACACTCCATAGAGCCAGCAAATAGCTAGCTCATAAAGGCCCAGATACTTCCCTACTTGGCCAGTGTTCCCAGCCCTGGGGTGAGGAGACCCCCCCACACCCTCCCGCTTCTAGGCACCGGCTTATTTTCTGCTGACCAATGTCTACCATCAGGGTACTGAGACCCAGAGCACCACCTACAGGGGGGCAGTCACTGGCACCCTCACGAAGCAGCCGCTGGCCAGACTTATACCGCAGTTTCCTGAAGAGCAGTTGGGGTGGGATTCTGTAGGGCAGGCAAGGAGGCAGTCAGCTGCCTGCCACTACCCCCCCACCCTGGCCTGCAGGGAAAATGCCCGCTTTGTACAGCTCACATGGCCCATTGTGCACCCGCCAGGATCCAGGTGGGGGCCGTGCTATGCTCACCATGCCCAGCCTGGCACTGCCCCTGCCCTCTTGGCTGAACACACATCTTCGAATTCAAATACACGTGTGCACCCACTCAACAGACCCCCTCCCCAGCCCATCCACCACCTTCAATGCGATCATGGCCCAGACTCCTGCTCCGTTCTCCCCAGTCACAGTTGCTGGGATGATGGCAGGGTCGCCTAGGAAACTGGCTGGCTCAAAAGCAGCAAGGGACAGCTGTGGCCACTGCAAACCAACCCCTCCCATCGCCACACACTCAGTCTACCAGCAAAAGTACACCGCAGTCTCCAGGAAGAGTTGTCCCAGGCCTGTCAGGCATACAGACAGTACCAACCTGCTCCAAGATCCCAGAACCCACTGGGGCCTCCACAAAGTACCTGCCAAGGCTGGAACCCCAGTCACAGGGAAACGCATGCAGGTGGTCCTGAACAGGCCCTGAACACCACAGTTGCAAAGGATACATTTTGACAGCTCCAGACCTGGTGCCAATTGCCATAATGCGAAGTTCAGGGTCGAAGGCCAGGGCGCTGGGCTGGTTGGGGAAGCCATGCTCCACAGTCTGTAGGGAAGAAGAGGGCTGCTGGGGTGTACACACCCTGAAGCCCACCCCAAGGCAGCTTCCAGGCTCTGCTGCTGCTACACGGGGATCAAGAGCCTGTTCCTCCTACTTTCTGTACCTCCAGTACACAGGAAAGTGGCTGAGTCCCCAGGCTCTACCATGACCTTGCTGTATGCGTGGCACATGTAGGCCCCCCCTTTGCCAAGCCCCTGTTCCCCTCAATGCCCATGTTGACACACTGTGCACAAGATTCTAGCAACAGAGAACAAGGCTCAAAGAAGCACAGGAATTAAAAAGATTCCCACCTGCCCCATGGGGATTCTGCACCCCTTCTTAGAGGCACAAACTGAAGCTGGTGAAGTGTTGTACTGCCAGGGGTCACATATGAAGTCCGTGGCACTCCCCAAAAAAACAGATCCTACATGGTGGTCAGAGGTCAAATTCAACACCCAGGACATCTAGGCAAAGGCTTCTCACTCCCTCCAAACTCAGGGAGACTGAGGCCCTGTCAGCTTTCTGTCCAAATCCTGAGGGTGTCACCCCACATTCCCACCTGGAAACAGCCAGGCAACATGAGTACCAGTCCCATCAATGCTGGGGAGGACTTTAAGGCAACTTGTATACTGTCCCAGTGTTAATGGTACTGCTAGCCACCCAGTGCTCAGCTCCCTGTAGGGCCAATCCCAACACAGTGCAGCCCCTTCCCCACCCACCAGGCTCCCATGCATGTTCTTTCCTTTGGCCAAGCTATGCTTCTCTCCATTTGCCTACCCCAACCGCAAGAGCCCTCACTCATCCCCCAAAGCCTAGCTGGGAGGGCCTCCCCAGGAAACCAGCACACCTGGGCCCTAGCCCCATTCTGAATACCACTCTGGGATGCCCAATGTGGGCCACCACCTCAGGAAGACACACATTCCTAAGACACCCCATTCCTAGCCTGCCTGTCACCCTAGCCTCAGCCCATCCAGGAGGGAACTGAGGCCTCTAGGCAGCTGGCTTGGCTACAGCCTGGCTATCAGCTGTCATAATACTCACCAAGCCCATTTCCCAATGGCACTGGAAACGGCGAGCCCACCCAAAGGCTAAGTTGCCCATTTGATTAGAGAGTCCTCTGGCATGCCCTTGCTGGACCTGATCTTTGTCTAGCCAGTCCCAGGTTACAGCCTAGCATTCAGCAGTCAGGTACATACGATATCTGCACCAAAAATTCCCACAGTCTTGAGTTTCCTCGTTTAAGAAGAGAAGAGACTAGGTCACTTGTCTATCATCTTCATCCTTCAAACCCCACGTGCAATCCATTCCTGAGCTCCGTTAGCTCAGCTTCAACACATACACAGAGGTCACCCTTCCCACATTCTACAGCCCCTATCTGCCCCAGGCCTCAGACCACACCTGCCTGGACTAGCACTCACTGCAGTCTGTTCCCCACCCCCACAAAGAAGCCAGAAAATGCCTGTGAAAATCATCTCCTTGTCCCTCCTCTGCACAAGACCTTCCAGGGGTTCCCAGCTCACCCAAAGTCAAAGTCAAGTCCTCATCACCTCATTCCCCTCTGTAAGCTTCTCCCAGCTAGCTGACTCCTGGTCCAATACCCTTTTGCTTTCCTCCAGTTCACTAGGTTCGATCCTACCTGAGTCTTTGCATCTACTGTCCCTCAGCCCTGAACAGGCTTCATACAGCCCTCCCATGACAGGCTCCTTCCCATCACTCAGAGGCCTCCCTAAATGTCCATGGCTGCAGAAGCATCCTGGTCCACACTCCCCACAGTCTCCCCCTGCTTTATTTTACCACAGCACTGGTCATGGTATGAACTATTACCTACTTAACATTTTTCTTTTGGTTTTTCTTTCCAGTGAGTGCATGAGCCCCAAGTGAAAAGACATTTGTCTCTTTTGGTCTCCACTGTGTTCCCAACAAAAAGGAGTAGGGACCCAGTATTAAACCGACATGAAACACCATTCCACAGTCAACTTGTGAGTTGGGCCGGGATCTGAACCCAAGACCCAGAGTCCAAAGTTCATGTTCATCCAAACTAACCAGCTCCCCCAAACTCACAAATCTGGGGCCTGTTCCCTTATGGATCACCTATCACCCCCTTTGGTAATCATACCCCTTCCCTAAGACCACTCCCTCCCACCACTGCTCCCCACTTAGAATAAGGGTTTCACCTCACCTCCTGAAACCCTAGGGCTAACTAGTGTGAGCTGAGTCTGAGTCTCACTCTATCAGTCTCAGGTTCTTATTGCACACCCCAATTTACCAACTGCGAGAGTGACATTTAGCTCAGTGCCTATCCCCCCTTTCCTGGAAGGTCTATTATCCTCCCACCCTCACAGTCACCCCAGCACAGGAAAGAAGGGGTGGGATCTGGGGGCCCCTAAGCACCAGTCTCTCTCCCCTCTTCGATCACTGATAGGTCTCAGTCACCAAGTCTGAGGATCCTGGGCAGCCCCATCACCACTACCTAGGATCTCAGCAGGTAAAACTTCAAGCCCTAAGACATCCCAGAGCTTCCAGGGTGACAAATCTCCTGGTGGCAAGTCTCTTCCAGGCAACCCTGGGAACCTGGCCTGGCTCAGGATCATAGCAGCCCCTCCAAAACCCCTTCCCCTAAGGCTAAAGCCCAATCTTACTATGGAGGAAATCAAGGGAAACAAAGTGGCCCAGCTTGCTCTGTGACTTCAGACAAGTCCTCACTTCCCCACTGAATCCCAATTTTCACCCTCAGTGTGTGATGGAGATAACAAATCTAATTCCAAACAGCAGAGAGAAGGCTTTATGGTAAAACTGAGGTACAAACCACCCCCAACCACCCAGGAGGAATTAGCAAGAGGCAGGCTGGGGCCTCACCCTATTTACCTCCTATCAGTGTAAGGGTGTCAGGAGATTGAGGACTTTCCCAGGGCCCCTTCCATCCCACCCAGAGAAAGAAAGACCAGTCCTCCACTTTCCCTCCCAAGTTCTACCAAGTGACAGGATAGCCCATGTGGCATAGGGAGCCAGAACCCACTGCCAGTGAACCCATTTCATAGCTGATAAGACCAAGGCACCACAATTTTAAGTGCAGTTGGGTACACAGTCCAGCACGTCATCCGGACTCACTCAGCCCCGGGTAAGGCAGAGCAGAGCCTCAGGAGGTGGGGGAAGGGAGGGGAAGGCTCCGAAGGGATTTCCCAGCCCCACCCCCCACTTCGGCCTCCACCCCTCACCTCTCCTGCTGGCCCGGGTGCGAAAGCAAAACAAAACCCGGCCCTGGCTTGTCCAAGGGCCAAGCAGGGAACATCAAAAGAGAGAGAGGAGAGAGAGAGGATTAGAAGTACAGTGAGAGATTCAGAGACTCCCACAGAGACGGAGAGCGGCATTCAGGGAGAGACAGGCAAAGACTCAGAGACGCAGAGAGAGAAGGAAGGAAAGGAGACGACGAAAGATACAGGGAAAGAGAAGAGGGACAGAGGGTCTGAGGCAGAGACGCCTCCTCCCCCAACACACAGGCACAGACTGAGGGCGACGGTCACAGACGGAGATGGAGGGTCAGGGACCTACAGAGATGCGAAGAGTGGCACTGAGACAGAAAGACCCGGAGACCTGCACAGCCAGAGCCGTGCAGGGCCAGGGCCGGTGAGGCCCACGGAGAGCTGAAGAGACGGCACCAAAGTCGCCGAGACCCAGACCCACGCGAGTCCGAGCGCGAAGGCGAGGACGCGAGGAACAGGGCCCGCCGAGGGGCTCCGGGCCCGGCCCCGCCGCGCGCCAGTCGGCCGCCCCTTCCCCCCGGGCCCGACGTGGCTCCGGCCCCCGGCCCCCGGCCCGGGCCCCCGACCCGCCCCCTCCCGCTCCGGCCCGGCCGCCACAGCACCTTGTGGAAGGCGAAGAGTTCCTGCTTGAGCTTTTCGCGCTGCGGATCGGCGCCTTGCCGCCGGAACCGAAACTTCATCATCTTGCGCCCGGCTGCCGGCGCCGCGCCCGCCGCCGCCACCCGCAGGATGCGCCGCGCAGCCCCGCCGGTCCTGAGCTACGGGCGGGGCGCCAGGCGGCCGGGGCGCGGGCGCGCGGGGCGGGCCTGCACGGGGTTGGGGGGGGGTCGCCGGACAAGAAGGACGTCCAGCTCGACCAATGAACGCTCCAATCGTGCCATCCGCCCCGCCCCTGCCGGCCAGACAATGGGGGAGAACTGGGCCCCCGGGCTCGACCAGGCTCGCGAAGGGACACTCGTCGCGCATGCGCCTTCGCGTAGGGCCTGCTGGGATTTGTAGTCCGGTAGCCGGGTCTCTAGCGTGGGCGACCCGGGATGCAGTTTCAAGGGGTCCGGTGCCTGTTCCTGGGCTTGGAGGAAGGAAGCTCTATCCAACGAACGAGCAACGTGCACCTTCACATAATGGGACAACCCTGCCCCGAGAGCCAGGTGAGCTCTGACTGGAACAGCTCTTTAGCCCCCGTGAGCCCATACACATCAATGCCACTGGCCGGATGATTGCCAAGTTTACATTTTTTCAGTTTTCGCGGAGCACTACTTTATTCCCCAGTGAATCAGAGCACCTCACAGTACCATGCTTTTGCCTTGGCTGTGTGATCAGTCCGGAATTCCTTCCTCAGCCTCTGGAGAACTCCTATCCATCCTTCAGGACCCAATGCAAAAGGCTCCCTTGGCACAAACACAAGGGATTCTTATGAGTGGCATCAGCTAAAGAAAGAGACAAGAACCCGGCAAGAGGTGGCGTTCAGGAGTGTCCTGAGATTGGATCTGGGTTTTTCTGAGATGGAGGGAGGTCCTTCCCTCCAAAGGGAATCGGGTTTGAATAAAACTGAAGACCTCCCCACTCTCAGACTATCCCCATCCACCTAGGCCTCCTTTTTTTTCATCTGGACAATGGCCTCCAGGCATAACCTTACAGGCTGAGAATGAGCTGCCCCGGGGCTGTGCTGAGATAGGTCCCAGAATTTTAGGTGGGGCAGGTGGGCGAGGCCCCAACCTCCGAGCTGGGAGGAAGGGGAGGGGCTGACCTCTGACCCTGAGGCTGTTGCCAAGCAACAGGGACCTGGCTGCTCACCTCCACTCACACTTAGCCTTGCTCAGCCCATTTTGGAAATTGGGACCGGGAGAGGGAGCTGGAAAGAAACAAAGTTGATACCAACAAAGCTTTCAAGTGCCTACTGTGTGGTAGGCCCTGCTCAAAATCCTTTCCTGGGGCCTGGGGATGTAGTTCAGTGGGACAGTGCTTGCCTAGCATGCTGGGGGCCCTGGGTTCCATCCTCAGCACCAGAGGTGGGGGGGACCCGTTTCCTGGTTTCCACTAATTTAATGTTCTTTAACAATTATATGAAATAAGAAAATGATACCATCCCAATTTCACAGATGAGGAAGCTGAGACAGATGGGCCAAGGCAAGGGGTCGCTAGTTGTGGACAGAGCTGGCTGGATTGAAGAAAATCAGACTGCTTCTGGCCAATGCCCACCACGCCTTGCCCAACTCAGAGGCCTGGGTTCTGGCCCCTGCCCTGCTACTGGGCCTCCCCAGTGTACCAGAGCACCTCACACCACCATGCTTTTGCCTTGGCTGTATGGTGTGTCTGGAATTCCTTCCTCAGCCTCTGAGGAACTCGTATTCATCCTTCAGGACCCAATGCAAAAGGCTCCTCTGGCACAAACACAAATGACATCAGCCTTTAAAACACTCTTTCTTACGAGCGTTACAAAGTTAATTCATCACCATCATCTAAAAGGTATGCCATCTGGAGCAGGTTACAGTTAGGCACTTTTTGCCTCAGTTTCCCCCAAAATGCTGCTAATCCTAGTATTTACCTCGAGGTGTTGTTGTGAAGATTAAATGAATTAATACTTGTCAAATCCTTAGAACATGCGAGGCAAATAGGAGGAACCATGTATGTGGTAACTGTTTTCATGGTGACTGTTAATTGTTTGATCCCCTTTTTCTACTCTAGTCCAGTCTTGACCCTTCCTTTGGCTCCATTTTGAAGTGGAACTTGGGCTAGATATGGTGGTATATAACCTGTAATCCCAGCAACTCAGGAGGCAGAGGCTGGAGGATCATAAGGCCAGCCTGAGCAACTTAGTGAGATTCTGTCTCAAAATTAAAAGGGCTGGGAATGTAGCTCAGTGGTAGAATACCCCCAGGTTCAATCCCCAATACTGGGGAGTGGGGGACGAATCCCCCTTCTTGTCAACAGTGCAGTTTCTAGGTCCCCCAAATGTGAATACCAGTGGAGTGGAGCCTTAGAATCTGGATTTTTAAACTGACCCCTTTTTTAGGTAACTCTGAAGCGATCTTGGCCCCAACCTGATCATATTAAGGGGCAAGGAGTTAAGTAGGTATACTGAGATAAAAACGGGTAAATTGAGCTAGACAGGTGGCCCAGCCTGCCTATACAGCTGGGCAGGGCTCAGGGATGGCATAGGGCAGGAAAAGGCTGGGGCATGAATATCTGTACCCTCACCCAGGGGAGCCCAGGCCCATTACTACAGAAGCCTAAGGGGATAGGGACAGGTATCTAGGACAAGTCAGCTCCTTGCTCAGGGGAGCCCAGGCAAGTACCTGAATACAGGGTCCTCCTCCATCTAACATGCTTCCATGCCTCTCTTGGGAATACAAGAGGTAGGAGGGTGCCCAGATCCATGAGAAGGGACAGTTGACCCCTGCTCCAGCTTCTTCAGCCAGGCAAGGGGCTACAGCCTTCTCCGCATTTCTTTTTTTTTTTTTTTTTAATATTTATTTATTTATTTTTTTAATTATCGGCGGGCACAACATCTTTGTTTGTATGTGGTGCTGAGGATCGAACCCTGGCCGCACGCATGCCAGGCGAGCGCGCTACCGCTTGAGCCACATCCCCAGCCCTTCTCCGCATTTTTTGAGTAGGGTGACGGCCCTCCCATGCCATCCCAGGACTTCAGCCCAGCTCTGGGATGGGACCTAGGTCTCATTTCAATTCCCAAGACATCTCTTATAAGCTGGGTAACTTTAGCTGAGCCACTAATCCTCTCTGAGCCTCATTTTTTCTCATCTATAAAATGTAGTAAGGACTAAATGAGGTAATTGAAAACAAGATGTGAACACAGACCCGGGCAAGGTCTGTACCTTGTGAGCCAGCTGGTTTTAGAACTCTCAATCCGCGGATAGACTGACTTCACCCCTTCTTAAACATACCTGGTGGATTCTTGCCTCAGGATCTTTGCATTGGCCTTGAACATTCTATTCCCAGGCCTCCACTTAACCAAACTCCTCAAAACCTTCTTGGTTTTGATAAATGACACCTCTCTGATCTATCTTTGATTTAAAAAGGCAGATTTAGCCAGGCCCAGGAGCACGCACTTGTAGTCCCATTTACTTGGAAGGCTACATCGGGAGGATCCCTGGAGTTCAGGAATTGAAGGTCAGCCTGGGCAACAAAATGAGACTACCATCTCAAAAATATTGAGCCAGGCCTGGTGGTATTGGCATGCATATGTAATCTCTGCAACTCAGGAGGATGAGGCCAGAGTATCGAAAGTTTGAGGCCAGCCTCGGTAACTTAGTAAGACCCTGTCTTAAAAAAATAAGGGGAGTTTAATGTTAATCTTTTCCTCCTGCTCTTCCTCCCTATATGATATGTCAAGAGCTTTGTAATGTTTTGAACAACCAATAAAAAAAAAAAAAATAAGGGGAGGGGCTGAGGTTGTAGCTCAGCGGTAGAGCGCTCACCTAGCACGGTGCAAGGCGCTGGGTTTGATCCTCAGCACCACATAAAAATAAAAACAAATAAAAATAAAGGTATTGTGTTCGAACTACAACTAAAAAAAAAAAATTTAAAAAAAATACAAGGGGATATAGCTCAGTTGGTAAAGTGCTGCCTTGCTTGCACAAGGTCCTGGGTTCAGTCCCCAGCACCACAGAAACAAAATAAATAAATAAAAAGGGCTGGATGTGTATGTAGCTGATACCACTGAGCACCCCTGGGTTCAATCCCAGTACTGGAAAGCAAACAAATAAATAGTAAATGTAAAAACAGAGCTAGGGGGCTGGGGTTGTAGCTCAGTGGTAGCGCGCTTGCCTTGCATGCACGAGACCCTGGGTTCGAGCCTCAGCACCACATAAAAAGAAATAAATAAAAATAAAGATATTGTGTCCATCTGCAACTAAAAAAAAGTATTAAAAAAAAAAACAAAACAGGGCTAGGAATATAGCTCAGTGGTAAGCACACCTGGGTTCAATCCCCAGTACCACAAAATAAATAAATAAAAAGGGAAAACAGGGCTTAGTGGTAAAGCGCCCTTGGGTTCAATCCCAATACCCCAGTACTATAGCCAAAAAAAAGAAAGCAATGGCAGGCCCACTCCTAAGGCCCTCCCCTGCTGGCTTCCCACTCACCATCTATTTGGCGTCTTTGTGTGTTTGTCTCCCCTTGCCTGAGAATGCGCTCCCTGAAGATTGGGTTTGATTTGGTTGGGTTTGACAGTGCTGGGATCTTACCCGGGGCCCTCAGGTGCATGCTAGGCAAGCCCTCAAATACTGGGGTGTGGGTGGGGTTTTGTTTTGGTTTTATAAGGGGGGGGGGGCGGGGGATTACATTTAGGAGCACTTTACACCTGAGCTGCATCTCCAGCCCATCCCCCACCCCGCCGCCTTTTTTTTTTTTTTTAGTTGTAGATGGAGACCATACCTTTATGTGTTATTTATTTATTTTTATGTGGTGCTGAGGATCGAACCCAGTGCCTCATGTGTGCGAGGCAAGTGCCCTACCACTGAACAACAGCCCCAGCCCCTCAGCCCTTTTTATTTTTATTTTGAGACAGGGATTTCATAATTGCTGATGCTGCCCTTAAACTCGAGATCCTCCTGCCTTCGCCTCCCAAGTATCTGGAATCCCCAAAAACAGATTTTTTTTTTTTAAGATCTGAAATAGATGCTGTGGCATGTGCCTTTGTCCCAGCTGCTCAGGAGGCCGAGGCAGGAGGATTACTTGAGCCCAGGAGTTCCAGGACAACCTGGTGTGACCACTCAAAAACAAAATAACCTGAAGCAAATATGACAACACGTTAACGTGAACTTCTCTATTATTTTAAGTCTTTTTCGGTGTATTTGAAATACGTCACTACAAAATGCAGAACAGGCTGGAGTTGTAGCTCAGTGGTGGAGCATGTGCCTGGCGTGTGTGATGGTTCCATTCCAGCAGCGCACGCGCGCGCGCGCACACATACACACACACAGTAATACACAAACAACAATCACAGTTTAGGAATCAAATCCAGAGGAAGTGGTGGTTAATAGGATGTGGGTGGGCAGGTAGATATCTAGGGGTGTCTGTGACCCAGGCTGGCATGCACTGAGTGTGTCCTCAGAGGCAGGGGCCCCAGAAAATGCTGTGTGCCTCATCTCCTTCAATCCTTGTAGGTACAAGGACAACCCCACTTTATAGACAGCAGTTGGAAGCTGAGGGTAGAGAAGTGGTTTGGACTAAGGTCGTTTGGTTACTTCCCTGCAGAGGAAAGGGGAAGAGAAGGGGTGATTCCAGGGAGTATCAAGGGGGGGAATCCCAAGCGGCAGCAGAGCAGGGGCTGGGAGGGAGTGGAAGACTTCTCTGGCTGGAGGAGGCAGGCCTGCCTTTCAGGAGCTGGCTCAGATCCCAGCCCAGGCCAGTGACCCTGCTGAGCCGCCCAAACCACACACACAGCTTCTTCCTGGTGGCTGGGGGTGGGGGGGTGGGGGGGTGGGACACTGTAGGCCCAAGGATTCCTGGAGTGGAGTCACAGGCTGGAGAGTGGGGCAGGGCCTGAAGAGGCAGGAGAGAGATGAGAGAGAAGGGGAGTCAAAGGGCTGACCTGCTGGCTGGCCAGCCCAAGCCAGGGGCAGGAGTGAGTAGCTTGTTTTGTGGGGTATGCAGAAGGAAGCTGGCCTCAGGCCCAGATGAGAGGGAGCAGTAGATTCTAGTATTTCTCAATCCAGAGGGTGAACAGTGTTCTGTACCCCAGTGAGAGAAAGACCAGATGGTAGGTGGGGTATGGAGACAGCCCCAGTCTGAAACAGGCTCTGGGATGGGTCCTGACCAAAGTTGCAGATAGACAACACATGGCTACAAAGCCCCTTCTCCTCAGGCGGGGCTGGTGACCTGACACTGGCCCTGAGCCGGAATCCTGGGCTACAGGCTTTGGGGACTTGGGGACACCTGCCTCAGAAGCTCCAGGGGCTTGGCCACAGGCCTATTGGAAGGAAGGAAGGCTCTGTTTTTTTCCTTTCTGTGACCCTCCTCTTTTTTTTTTTTTTTTCCTTTTTTTGTACTGGGGATGTAACCTAGGGCTTCCTGCATGTTAGGACATGGCTCTGAACCACATCCATAGCCCTGTTTATTTAAAATTTTTATTTTGAGGGGCTGGGGATGTGGCTCAAGTGGTAGAGCACTCGCCTCGTATGCGTGAGGCACTGGGTTCGATCTTCAGTACCACATAAAAATAAAATAAAGATATTGTGACCACCTAAAACTAAAAAAATAATAATAAAATTTTTATTTTGAAACAGGGTTTTACTAAGTTGTCTGGGAGGGCCTTGAACTTGCCATTCTCCTGCCACAGCCTCTCAAATAGCTGGGGTTACAGGTGTGCTCCACTTCAACCAACCGTGGCCCCAAGTTCTAATGTTGTCTCCCTCTGCCATTTCACTTTTCTGGGCCTCAGTTTTCTCATCTGTAAAAAGGGGGATAATATTGAATGCTACCGTTTATTAACCCTAAATACTTGGTCCGTGCCAGACACTGTCGTCGTTTCTTCAGTCCTGTCCCCATTTTATTCAGGAAGAAACTGAAGGTTAAGTCCTTTGCCCGAGTCACACAGCTAGTAGACTCCAAATTTGATTCGTCCTAAGTGAGGTCTTAGAGGTTGTGGTAAGAATTCAATGAGACAATAAGTAAAAGGGCCTCATGCCCAGTGAGGAAAGGGAAAGGGTGGAAGTGAGGTCCCAGTCTCCAAGCCTGACGTGGAAACGTTGGGACCACACAGTGGCCTCTCGCTGTTGAAGGAAGCCAGTGGTCTAGGGAAGGCCAGGAATATCTGTGAGGAGGGCCAGCAAAGGTAGCTTCCAGCAGAGCTTCCTGACGCAGAGGCCACTGACTGGCATGTGAAAGGTGCATAAGGGTTCCCCAAGGAGCTGGGGCCAAGAGAGATGTGTGAGACCCAGGCTGGGAGCTCAGCTGCCCACAGCTCTGCCCCGGGTCTGGGGGTTACCTGATGTTTGGGCCTCTGCTTGCCCCTCAGGTTTCAGTGCCCCCCACACACACACACCTAGCCTGAGGACCCTGGATGAGCAGGGCAGAAGCAGCAGGGAACCCGAGTTCTTGCCTCTGGATAACGTGTAGCAGGTTCGGGGGACTTAGGTTCCCCATCTAGACCAAAAAATAGTCATCCCTTGGCCTTCACAGTGAGGCCCCCATGGCTCAGGCTTTGCTGCCACGCTGTGGGCACAAGGGGAACTGCAGCAATGAGCACCTGATACCTAGCAGGGGAAACCCCAACTCTGACATAGTCCAAAGACTTCAACACACCTCCACCACACAGACCTGAGGACCCAACTCCCATATTCCACACCTTAGTCCCTTACCAATGCAGTGGCTTTTGTATTGGTTTTGACTGTCCTCAACACAGCAGCCTGAGAGATCCTAAGTCTGCATATCATCCCTTCTCTGTTCAGAAGCCCAGTGGTATGCTGGCACTATTTGCAAGACTCAATTGGCAAATTTTTGTTGAGCCAGGTGCTATGGCACACACCTGTAATCCCAACTACTTGGGAGCCTGAGGCAGGAAGATCCCAAGTTTGAAGCCAGCCTGGGCAACTCAACAAGCTCAATCTCACAATAATGTGGTTCAGTGGTACAGCAACCCTGAGTTCAATCCCCAATTAAAAAAAAAAAATGTGTGAGTCAGCTGTTAAATGGTCATTATTGAAAACTAGGGGCTGGGGACATAGCTCAGCAGCAGTGAAATTGCTGGGCATGTGCCAGGCTCCAAGTTCAATCCTCAGCAGGAGCAGGGAGGGAAAAATTAGATGATATAAAATTGAAATTATATTAAAAATTAAGGAGCCAGATATAGTGGCACAGGCCTATAATCCCAGCTTCTCAAAAGGCTGAGGCAAGTTTGCCTCACAAGTTTGAGGCAATCTCAGAATGAAAAATTTAAAGGCTCATAGTAGAATACCCCCAGGTCAATCCTTAGTTCTGTAAAATAAAACAAAAACTTACAGAATTAATATTTAAAATCAAATATTTCCTACTAACTTTATATTTACTATTATCTATGCTGTATTTATTATTTTTTGCAGTGCTTTGGACTGAACCAAGGGTCTCATGCACACCTGGAAAGCACTCTCCCACTGACTACCCACCCACCCCCACTAGCCCTAAGTCTTATTTATTTATATACTTATTTTTCATAATGGGGAGAGAACCCAAGGAGCTATATCCCTGGTCCTTTTTTTTTTTTTTTTGGTAAATTTGAGACAGGGTCTTGCTAAATTGCTCAGACTGGCCTTGAACTTGCAATTCTTCTAGTCCAAGAGTCACTAGGATTACAGGTGTGTGCCACTATGTCCAACTCTATCAGCTTTTTAATTTTTGCAGTTCTGGTAATTGAACCCAGCAGCATTTTACCACTGAGCTACATCCCAGCTATTTATTTATTTATTTAGGTACCAGGGATTGAACCCAGGGGCACTTAAACACTGAGCCACATCCCCAGCCCCCTTTTTATATTTTATGTAGAGACAGGGTCTCACTGAGTTGCTTAGGGCCTTGCTAAGTTGCTGAGGCTGGCCTTGAACTCAAGATCCTCCTGCCTCAGCCTCTGAAACTGCTGAGATTACAAATGTGTGCCATCATGCCCTGCCCAGTCCTTTATTTTTAACTTTGAATTAGGGTCTCACTAAGTTGCCCAGGATGGACTCCAAGTTGTGATTCTTCTGCCTTAGCCTTTCTTTTTTTTTTTTTTTTTTTAATATTTATTTATTTTTTAGTTTTCGGCGGACACAACATCTTTCTTTGTATGTGGTGCTGAGGATCGAACCCGGGCCGCACGCATGCCAGGCGAGCGCGCTACCGCTTGAGCCACATCCCCAGCCCCTGCCTTAGCCTTTCAAGTTGCTAAGATTATAGGTTGTGCCACTCCACCCAATTCTACTTCTTTAGTGTTTTCGTTTTTTTATTTGCAATAAGCAGAGATAGAAAAATACCTATGCTGCCAGGCATGGTGGTGCACACCTATAATCCCAGTTTCTTGGGAAGTTGAGGAAGGAGGACTGCAAGTTTGAGGCCAGCCTCAGCACCTTTAGTGAGACCCTGTCTCAAAATAAAAAATAAAGGGCTGGGTTGTGGCTCAGCAGTATTGCCCTTGCCTAGCACGTGCGCAGCGCTGTGTGTAGTCCTCAGCACCACATAAAAATAAATAAAATAAAGGTATTGTGTCCAATCACAACTAAAACAAAATTTTTTAAAATAAATAAATAATAAAAAGGGACTGAGGGTGTAGCTCAGTAGTTACATACTTCCTGGGTTCAATCCCCAGTACCAAAACAAAAGAAAAATGTCTATGCTTTTTAATTATATCCATTTTGTCTGTGTGCTGCAAACGATGTGTAACAGTGTGCTACTGCACAGCTCTTCACAATTCTGTGTTCAGGGACCTTATGTTGAAACCAGCCAAGATGAGGATATTTACACCATGGAAACGAAAACACCACAAATTAGGTTTGATTCATTGTTGATTTTCTAGACCAGTGCCATCAAATAGAAATGTAATGCAAGCCACATATAATTAAAATTTCCAGGGGTTGGTGGTGTATGTAGCTCAGTGGTAGAGTGCAAGCATGCATGAGGACCATGAGGCCCTAGGCTCCATTTGCAGCACCACCAAAAAAAGAAAAAGAAAAAAAAAAAATCAAAACAGAAACAAAAACAGGTGAAATTAATTTAAATAGTATATTTTATTTAACCCAGTATGTTCAAAATAGTATCATTTCAACATGTAACCAATATAAAGTTATCAGTGATATATTTTACATTGTTTTTCATCCTAACTTCAAATTCTGGTGTTTATTTTACACTTAAAGCACATCTCAATTCAAACTAGCCACATTTCAAGTGCTTGATGAGAGTCCAGTGGCTACCATATTGGACAGCACAAATCTAGTTTTGAGAAAGCCATGGAAAAAATATTGATGATTTAGATTAAATTTGAAAGTAGTGCTGAGATTGAGATTCCAATCCAACTAGCATAATTTCTTGAGGAACTAGTAGGTCATATATCAGCTTTTATGATAATCAATTCATGAGGAAAAGAGCAATGTGGTAAGCACAGTGGCCACCAAAGCTATCAGGTTATCATTCCTGGAACCTGTAAATGTTACCTCATGAAGAAAAAGGGTGAGTGGGGAGGCTGAGACAGGAGAATCCCAAGTTTGAGGCCAGCCTCAGCAACTTAGGGAGACCCTGTCTAAAAAAACAAAACCAAAAGGGTTCGGGGTTCAATACCCAGTACCACCAAAAAGAAAAGAAAAAGAAAGGGTGAGGGGCTGAGGGTATAGAATTCAGTATAGCTCAGTATAGAACACTTATGTGCACAAGCACCTGGATTCCATCCCCAACACCATAAAAAGAAAAAGTCTTTGAGGATGTGATTAAAAAGATTATTTTGGTACCCTTCTATCCAATCAAAAACATCCCTAGTAAAAGGGGCAGAGAGATGTGGCACACAGTAGATGCCATGTGACCAGAGAGGCAGAGCAACAAGTTGCAACTACAAATGAAGGAATGCTTACAGCCACCAGCAGTTTAAGGGACAGGTTTCCCACTAGAGCCTCTTAAGTCAAGGTGTGGACAGGGCTCAAGGACAAGTGATTCTGGATTTCTGACCTCCACAAGTGAGAATAAATTTGTTCTTGTAAGCCACCAAATTTGTGATAGTTTTGGCAGCCATAAAAAAACAAACACAAGCAGATAAACTGCATCTTCCTCATATTGTGGTTGAATTATAAGCATAGGCAGATGATTAACACCGGAATTCAGCAAAAGAGCCTAAAAACTTTTGTGAAACAACTGGCTATATGGAATTTACAACAAAATACTATGTATTTACAATTTATGTGCTACACTTCTGTTTATGCTACCCTTACATATGTATGTGACATTATGTCCCAGGTCTGTCATGTGTCCAACACTGTGCTCAGCACAGTTGAGTCAATATTTCTGAATAACATGACCTTGGGTCAGTCCTTGACCGCCTTGAATCTGTTTCCCTCTCCTTACAAAAGGGTTAGAGGAATGGGATGGGTCCTACGTGGATAGGGCTGATGTCCCTGCTGTTGGAAAAATTATGTGAGACCAGGCTGGGGGTGGGGACTGAGGGAGGCTAAGCACCCTGTCAGGAGGTGGAGAGAACTGGATTCAGGGTCAGCTGTCAGGCTCAGGGTAACTGCTCAGGACGATCACCTCACAGATGGAGCCCACAGGGCTACCATGTAGGTAGTGACTAAAGCCAGAGAGGCAGTAGGAACTCTGGTGGTCAGAACCCCTTATGTTCCTCAGTCTTGCAGGGGGAAGGGCTTCTTTTCCTAGGGGTGGGGAAAGCTCTGACTGAGGCCCCCATCCCGTTAGGGGCTTAAGCATGGATAGGGAAAAACCACTCTTGTCACATGCAGTCTGGATGGCTGGTAGGTCACTTCTCTCTGGGTTCCCATATATCCTCTCCAGGGCACCCAGGATCCTAAGTCCAGCTCAGTGCTGCCCCTGTAGGTCCATCTGGCCAGGACCACACAGAGGCCCTGTCCCAATTTTCAAACCAAACCCTGGCCAGCCACTTGCACCGTCTATGGACTCTCTTCTAAATGGGCAGTTAAGTGGCTTGTCCAGGTTCCCACAGCAGGAATTTGGCCAAGCAGACTGGCTCTGAGCGCTTAACTGTGTGATATAGACTTCAGACTGAAGCTCTTGGCCAGGCCCTGGGAGTTAGGTCAGGGATTCAGATGGACTAAAGCCTCTGGGCCCAGCCTTACCCCACCAAAAAAATACCTCCTTCATGCCTGTATCCTATGTACTCCCATACTCTTTGAGAGCAACTGAAAGCAGAGACCAGGAGAGTTTTGCTCACGGTTGGGGTTCTAGTGAGGACTTGTCTGGTGTAGTGGGAACTCAGTCTTTACTGAGCAAGACCACTTTCATATCCTCTACAAAAGCCAGCTTCTCCCTGCCTTGGTTCAGGCTGTTTCCCCCTCGCTGGCATGTAGTCCTTCCACTACCACATGCAGAGAGAAGGTGCGGCCCCTGCATACCTACACCCCATAGTTATGAAGGCCATCCTCCTTGGAGTAGGCAGAGGACAGACAAGGCCACCTACAGCCTTCAGGAGGCCTGGTGTCAACAACTGGCTGACTCCTCTGGGGCTCTGATGGGCCATGAGCTCCACTTCCCCAACCTCTGTTTAAAGTTAAGAAAATAAAGGGATTAAGGAGGCACCAAAGGCAAGCTTTCTCTTACGACAGCATCAGACAATTGTTTCAAAATATATTAGATTTGGTTTTTATTGTAGAGCACACATATCAGGGCAAAGTGCTGCACACACAACTACAAATCATTTTTTTGGGAAAAAAGCTGTAAAAAAAATAAAACTGCAACTGCTTTAGTTACGCAGTCCTGACTTGAGGAATCCACGCTGGCAAAGGAGTTCTGGCCCCTGAGAGGGGCTTCTTGATGGTGGCTGCCCACATTTCTGAGGCCCCAGGCCTGGACCTCTATACATAAAGCCCCCTGGAGTTGTGGTGGCCCAATTGCAGGGAGGGCCTCTGCTTTTGGCAGGCCCAAGTCCTGGCCTGGCTGGCAAGAAGACATTCCTAATGAATTTAGATCAGCAAAACCTTGCAGCCTTCCAGAATCTGAATGGGTAGAAAGCGCCAAAGACTTCACTTTTTTTTTTTCTTCCTTTTATTATTATTGTTCTTTTTTTTTTGTTTGTTTGTTTTTTTAAGAAGCCCCTTCCCCAGCTCCCATGCCCCTGAAGCAGAGAAGGCACCAACCCAGTCTGCAGGCCTGAGCTCTGGCCTTGGATGCACACTGTAGGTGAATAGAGGGAGTGGGCACCTTCCTAGAGGGATGACATGGAGAGGAGGCCCAGGGTGGCCAATGGAGGAGAAAGGAAAGCCAAGAGACCAAAGGAAAAATAAAAACTCAAAAAAGAAAACAAAAACCCTACCACACACCACAATGATTTCCCATACCCCAAATGCTAGACTTGGAAGGACACCAGTCCCTCTAGCTAGAAACAATTCCTAAAACTGACCCAACATGGCAAGTCTAACTTTCCATATAATCCCACGCAAATGCTTGAAAGGAGCAACCCAACAAAGAGGCAGGCATACTCTTGGCAAGAGACCTCAGGACCACTGTACTAGCCTCTGAGAAAAGTGTGGAGGAAACCTGGAGGGCTCGGCAATAGCCTTAGGGTGACAGGGGCTGGCAATGTTTGAGCTCCGCCCCCAGCCAACCTGAACCACTCTGCTGAGGGAGGAAGAAAGGGTGTTTACAGGAGCTTCCAGAGCCTGGACAGCAAGTGAGGGTGGAGCAGCAGCCCCCCCACAGAGCTGGCAAGGCTCTAAGAGACCTCAACCAAGTGTGGACATCAGTGGAGGAAAAGGGTGGGCAAGAGACTGAACTTTGTTCAGAGCACTGCAAAGATTTATATTTAAAGCAAAAATGAGAATTTCTTAACCATAACATTTTGTTGCTTTTAAATAAACCCAGCCTAACTCAGCCCCACTTGAAGATAACTGCCCCCCCCCCACACACACACACCTCTACTGGCTACTCCAGCGTGAGTCTCGGTCTCCTACAGACACCAACAACCTTTTCATCCAGGAGGAAAGCCAAGAACATGAAAACCCAAGTCTTGGCCAATTCTGTTTTTCAGCCTTAACGGGCAACAAACGAAGGGAAAAAAAAATATATATATATATATAAGATCAAAAACAAAAATGAAACCCTCAAAACAAAAGGAGGGGCAGCTACATGAGGATCAGCCAGAGTTCCCAGGAGGGCAGTGGACAGGCTTCAGTGCCTCCGCATCTTCACCTTTCGGGCGGGGCTGCCTGTCGCCTCTGAGCAGTCCTCTGAGGACTCATAGGACTTGCGCCAGTAGTTCTCAGAGCTGAAGCTGCCCCTCCGCCGGTGGGTGGGCATCAGCACTGAGCGCCGGTTCTCTTCCTTGTCCATCTCCAGGATCCGTGGCCTGCAAAGAAAAGAGGGAGGGTTATTATCTGAGAGGCTAGCAGGACGGGGGTCTGGCCTCATCACCTCTGTGCCTGGTTCTCTGTCCTTAGGTTGGGGCCCTCCAATTCAGTGGTTCTCAGTGAAGGGTATTTCTGGCAGAATCACTGGTACTGGTGGTTCCTGGTCATTAAGTGTCAGTGGTCACACCTCATCTTTGGGCTATCTCCCAGTCACCCTGTGGGATCTGCTGGGCAGGAGGAAGCCTTCCCTACCCTGGTCTCTAGAGCCTGTATGGTCCTACTGTCCACTCTACTTCCCAACTCTTCCTTCTGCCTGTCCCTACAACACCACCTTCTCTGTTCACTAGTTCCTTAACCCACCAAATTCTTTTCTGCCTCACAACATTAGCCCACACGGTTGTTCTTGCCTAGAATGCCCTTCCTACATAGCTCCCCCATTCTGGTCTTATCTTAAACAGTATCCCATCAGAAACCCTAACTCTTCTCAAATAGATCCTTGGTTCACTTCTACATGCCAAAATTCCCTAACACCTAAATATAAACCCACAAGGGTGTGTGTCCAGGTGGGACTGAACAATGAGGTCATGGGAAGAACATAACATACTTGCATTTGTCAGAGTCTCTGCCCAATCCCTTCCCTCTGAGGGTATAGGCAGCTGGCCAGGAGTTAGGCAGAAATACTACCCATGCTACTCTCCCAGAGAAACCAGACATATGGCTTTGAAAAGTCGGGCAATCTCAGGCTCCTAACCAGCCTACCCACCCTAGGCTTCTCCACCATCATAGCCTAGAGCTAGTCATGGGGTTGCTTTACTGGCCTTTGTTGAGGATCCTAGGCTGAGTACCTGTGGGCAGCGTCAGGGTCTGCCTTGCGGTGAGACCGCTTGGGTTTCAGAGGGGGGTCCCTGTTGTTTCCTGAAAGGCGATCTGAAGCATAGCTGGGTGGTAATGCAGAGCTGCTCAGGGACTTTGTTTCCAATCGGGGTGCATCTAATCTTGTCCTGCAAAGGAAACACACATGTCACAACTGGGTCTCTGATGAGGGCACATGCCTAGTCAGTCCAGTTATTTCTCTTGCCAGGCCAAGTGGAGACCAGCTAGGCCTGTCTATAAGCCAGCAGTCTCTGCTCTGTGATTTAGTATCTTCATGGTCCAACTAAGGACTGGTGTAGCTGTCCTCCAACTGACCAACCTCAAGTTCAGGCCTAGGAGAAAAGAATGGGAACACTCCTGTTTGGAGACTTCCAATGACAGGGAACTGTTGTCCCAGAGGTTAAACCCTAGAGCTCTTTCTCAACTGCACAAAGCAACTCTACCTCCTTCCATTTGGACCCAGAAGTGTTCAAGATGCATCCATTCTACTTGCTAAAAGACTGAGGTCCACTAGTGGGCACCACACACTCCAACAGGTGCCTTCATCCCTGCCTGAAATACTACTACAGAAAGGATCCCTGCTCCAGGCCTGTGAAGGGACTGGAGGGAAATGGAACCAGACTTAACTTTCTCACTGTAGCAACAGGGACACAGGCTGAGTGGCAAAGCTAAGGTGAAGGGGAGCCCAGGCCCACTTTATGATCATGAGTTTGGTTTTAGTGCTACCACAGCCACCTGGCAGCTTCTGCTCATCCCAGGATGCTAACCAAATAGAAAACAGAAGGCAATGTTCCCAACCAGCACTGAGTGCAAGTCTCAAGGAACATACTACCTAGTAAAGGCAAAATATGCAAGTACAGATGAAAAAGAGTAGGCATGGAAGAGCTGGGCAGAGATATGCTCAGGGCAGTGATCTGAGTCCTTTTATAAAGCCAGACCAGAAGGTAGCTGGCCTAGGAAATCTCCAAGAAGCCCCAAGGCTTCTTATGCCGTATAGAGAAGGCTGGAAAGTTAAGAAGACTGGAACAAGGGGTAGAAAAGGGGCCCCAGGTAGCCGAGGTGAGACTTAAGCCTAACAGGAGCCATTCTGAACCTGGGAAGGGATCGCTCTCCTGAGGTTGGCAGAGGTGGCTCCTACCTCCCAGCTGGGAACCAACATTCTGATGCTCTCAGGCCCAAACTGATGGGCAGGTAGAAAGGCAGGCAGGGCAGCTACCTTTGTCCTTGGCTTTCACTTCACAGAATGAGAGGACAGAGGGGTCCAGCTCAATGGCTGGCATACCAGTCTTAGCCTCCACTCTGGGAGGCTCCAGGTTCAGGGAACCAGGACCTAGTCCAAGAAAAAAGAAGACCCCATTCTGGTACTGCCCCTCAGAGTCCAGGTTAGTTATTATCCTTTGAGCCTTAGTTTCTCCACCTGAGCACAGGAAGGAGAAACAGGACTGCCTTTAAGTCTCTGTTCAGTTCTGAGGGCCTAGGAATTAGACAAGTAGCCTGGCTTCCTTCAAGGCTAGGTTCTTTGGGGAGTAGTGGTAGAATCACCTGAGCCCCAAGGCCCTTGCACACCCCATACCCCTAAGCTGAGCGGTCCAGACTGTAGAGATCAGATGTGACACGAGCCACAAAGTTTGTGTTGGAGGGCTCCAAGAATCTACAGCCTTAGAAGAAAGTGCCTCCTCTGACCGTACAAGTGATAGGGAGCCTGTGTTCAGGGTGAGAAGGCCCCAGGTAGCTCCTAAAGCCCCCACAACACTCTAACGGAGCAGTCTGAAGTTACTTCCTCAGGGGAGTGTGTATGGCAAGAGCCGCCACCAAGATGAGAGCCTGTGCTCAGCTTGACCCAGGATATTCTGTGAAGTATCCTGCCACAAACTGAGGCCTGGCATGGGCCCCAGGCCTCCTGAGCTTCCTTCTTGGGGCAGCTTGTCTGGGCAGGCAAGGTGAGGGTGATGAACTCTTCCCATGGGTCTAGGACTGCTAGAGAGGCTGGGGAAAAAGGTAAGAGTCTGGACAGAGAAACCAGGAGCACCAGCTACTCCCTCTGCTTTCCTGGCTGCCTAAAAGAGGAGAATGCATTGTCCCCCAATTCCCCACAATGGGACAGCCTTACTGCCATTATGAGGCAGCTCCAAAGAAGGGATAATCAGAGCCAACCTTACCAGAAACCCATCCTTTTTTTTTTTTTTTTGGATACCAGGGATTGAACCCAGAGGCACTCGGCCACTGATCCACATCCCCAGCCCTATTTTGTATTTTATTTAGAGACAGGGTCTGAGTTGCCTAATGCCTCACAGTTACTGAGGCTGGCTTTGAACTCCTGCTCCTCCTATCTCAGCCTTCCCAGCTTCTGGGATTATAAGCAAGCGCCACCATGCCCAGCAGAAACACAGCTTTCTATATTCACTTCACTGTAGGGATAGTTGAGCTGAGACCAAAAGGGCTCTGGTACATACACTAGGAATGTTACAAGATATCTCCTAACCGCTGCAGAAGCTCCTGTCCTTCCCCCACTTATGAAATGCCATCAAGCTGTAAGAACCCAGACCAGAGCTAGATCCCGAGCCCATTATAAAAAGTTTGAAGCAGTTTAACTTCAGAACATGCCCCTCATAAAAGGCAACCAACTCCTCTGAAGCAGGCAAGTCCCTTGGGATTTAACAGAGCGCCACGAAATTTGGAATCACAAGGTACTGCAAATTTTGAGCAATAAGTTTGAGTATAAAGACTGGACTTGGACCTCCTCAATAGGAATAAAGACCTGCTTTACAGAACTGATCCAGGTATGTGAGGTGAGGGTCAGCTTGCTGACCACTACATCCAAAGGGATCACTGCAGCATCAAGAGTGCATCAGCATGTGAGCTGAGGGGAAGAGAAAGATAAATTCTGTCCCAGGTGCTCCCCTCTTCCTTTAGCACTCATGTAAACCCCCATAGAAGCTACTGGGAGTGAGAAACAATGCTAAATCAGAGCAGATCACTGTCCTAAGTCACATAGCTACTACCTCACAATAACCTCCAAAGCACAGGTGGGCTCTTCCACTGCAGCAGAGCCGTGTGGGGGCAATGCCATCATTTCTGGGAGATGGGTATCATCATGCACCCAGACCACAATGACCCTGGTGGAAGGGTGGCTCCGTGGCTCAATAATGACTATTTTTCCCAACTTCTGGCTCTACTTTTACTAGGAAACCTGGCTTTCCAATGAGACGAGGAAGTGCAAAAGGTCTGTTTAGAAACCTGACCCCTACATAGGACCAAGTTCCAGCACCTTTAAGCATTAGACTCCCAAAGTCCAGCACCTTCATGTCTCCTGCAGTAGTCCCCACCCATTTTCTACTAACTTCCCTCCAAGATAATGCTTCTGATTACTATCCATTTATCAGTTGTGCTCTCTCCATAGAGCACTACTGATATATGCAGTGGTTTGCCATGGTCAGAAGAGCCTAAAAACATATGAGGGGTTATCACCTAAAAAGGGGACTCCAAACATATGGTCCAGGGCTCACAGTAAACATCTCCTATATAAAGGCCTACAACAGGAGACTCTCCAAATCATTCAGTCTGGTTATCACAATAGCATACCACACATACACACACCCCCCTCAAGACCCCAGAAGCCAGGAGGGCTCCATGGGTGCCAGCCACACAATAGGACCAGCATCAAAGGTACCTAGAAATCCCCCCAGCTCAAGTCTGGTAAGGTATCTGTTTTCCTCCAAGACCCCAGGAGTCCAGAAACCAAGTCTGCTTTTCCCACCCGTGCCACGCAACTCTATATCTCTGGGTTCCCTCCACTCCATGTGCCTCTGCTCAAACTATATACCTTCACTCAGCACAACCTTTCTCATGCCTTACTGTCATGATCAGAAGGGAGGTTTAGTGGGGAAGGAGGTAGAAGTCCATCTAGCATTTGTAAATTTAGCACTGAGAATGTAGGGCTTAGGTAAGAACACATCTGGAGAGAAAGTAGCTAAGCCAGGCGTCTAAGCTCATCACCTCTCTGATGGTCTGCCTCTATATTCCCCTGCATGTTACAGACATGGGCAGGATGCCAAATGGGCAAGGTATATATATCTAGATACACACTGGTCCAGGAAACAAATGTGAGCTAAACTTTGCCACAGAATATAAGAGTCATGGAGAGGAGCAATATCATTCCCTGAAGGTGGCAGTGGTCTCTGTGGGGAAATGCCTCAGACCTGGCCAGGTTCAGGGAAACCAACAGCTGTCCACTCCTCCACATTCTGCTGAGGGACGAGCTTAGAGTATACCCTCCATACCCACTCTCTGCTCACCTATACCCCAGCCTCACATGCTGGCTGCTCTGCTTTGGTTATGTTGGGGTGTCTTCTGAACCCTTGAATTCTTTGGCTCCAGTGGTCAAATAAGCCATTGAGTTCAGCCTCCTACAGTTTATTACATGAATTGCTCTCCCCACAGCTCATGTGCTTTAATGGCCTCCCAGTGCCCTTCATATTTCTCTACGTGCATGCAGTCTTTTCTTACATCGTATGAAGCCCTCCACCCCAACCACCACTCTGTTCCAGAGTAATGGAGTGTCCCAGAGTTACTGGACTACAAGTCTTTGAGAAGCAACTCTTTTTTTTTTTTCTTTTTCTGGAACCCCCAACCTCATGCATGCTAGGCAAGTGCTCTACCACTGAGCCACATCTCCTGTTCAAAGAACATCTTTTCTGACTGAACTACCTTTGCCCTTGAACACCTGTTCTTGGCCCTTCAACCACCTACAGGTATGCTCCTCTGGAAAGCCTTGACTAAGTCTCTGGTGAGCAGTTCAATGTCTGCCTTCTCCCCAAGACAAACAGATAAAAGCCCATACTAATCATACTCCTAGCACTAGTGATCTGAAGCTGTCCAGCTTCAGATCACTTTGAGCTGAATCCTACTTGACCAAAAGCAAAGAAAACTATTTACATTGTCTTGAGCCACTTCACTTGGTTAATGGGAAAGTGCCAACCTTGTAAAAATAAAGTTTTTTGTTTTTATTTTTGTGGCACTGGGAACCAAACCTAAGAATATTCTACCTCTAACCTTTATTCCCAACCGTTTTAAAAATCTTTTTTTTTTTTTTTTTTAGCAGTACCAGGGACAGAACCCAGGGGCACTC